CTACTATTTAGGCATAGTGCATGCAAAGCACAACACTATCTCTTGAATCCAAACTTGTCAAAATTTATGTCCCTTGGCCGCCGTCTTTGGGGGAAAAACCCATAGAAGCCTCGCAGTAGGCTTTGTAGTTTTCTGGTTTGTAACTTTGTCATTTGACTAGAAAAAAATTTTGCTTCTATATTGATTGCCACAGGATAAGGCTACCAATACATTGAAGGAAAAGAATTTAAACACAATGGATGCATCGGAGCACGCCCAAATGTTTGGTAGGAAAAAGTTTTTTCCCTTTTGACCTTTTGGTTAAGCCCACAAAAGGACACAACTTTTGCAAAGTATGAATTTTTTCACCAAAGTGATGTTGAACACTGAACAGCCTATTAATGTCCCCAATTTAACATTCAAAAATTATACATGTTGATACAAATTAATAAGGAGAATATCAGTGGTCCTGATATGATATCTACACTTTTAACATAAAGTGACATTGAACATTGCCGGAATGACCTTGGATGAAGGCAACAACATACCTAAAGGCCATATGTAATATTTTTATGAACAATGATCTTGATCAAATAACCTTACGTCAAAATCATGACCTACTTTAAGGTCATAATCAATTTTTCTATGAAGTATGAACATCTGATATTTTCCATTAGAAAATTAGACCAGGCACAAATTGAACATTTTTTTCTGCCGGTGATCTTCCCTTGCTGGAATTCTTATCATGGGGTCAAGACCATGACACACTCTTTGTTCACATGCAATCTATGTCAAAAATTAACTTCTAAATGGTTCTCCATTACAAAGTTATGTGCCTTGACACACATTTTAAACTTTTTCTTGTAGTGACCTTGATCTTGCTGGAATGACCTTGGGTTAAGGTTTGAACATAAAAATGGGGCATAAATCTTTTTGTCAAACATGAGCTTACAATATTTCTCCTTAACGAAATGTGGTCAGGACACGAATTATACATTTTTCTATAAAGGACCTTGAACTTTATCATCTGACATTGAATGAAGAACATGATACACCTACATGTCTTACACAATTTACCGCATGAAGTATCAATATCCGATGTGCCTCTATAAGAAAGTTATAGACCAGATGAATTTTACACTATTTACTGCCAACGACCTTGAACTAGCTGAAAAGACCTTGGGTTAAACGTTAAAGTCAAAATTCAACCTCAGATTATAAACAATTGTTTTATCAAGAATGAACTTTCAATCTTTCTCCATTACAAAGTTATGACCCCATCATGATTGCACAGACAAAAGAATACAGAGACAGACAGACAAAGTGATTCCTTTATACCCCAATCTTTGTTTGCTGGGTTATAACTATGGTGCAAATGATGTGTTATCATGGCTGCCGATTTTTTAATTATTAGAATATTGCTAAATCATCTTTTCATAAGGTAAACTATTTTTATTGTTTCTCTATTATTGGCGATTAAGTTAAGTCATGTAACTCCCATAATAGGTAAATACTGAGCGTTTTTCTGCATGTAAAATGTATGCTGAATGTAGCCATGGTTACCACCTATATAAAGATATATTCCAAAAACTTTCTTTACATAATAAGTGGAAACAAGGCTTATTGTTTTTTGTTTTTTTTTCTATGTACATGGCCAATTTGGTTTTCTAAGTGCTTGTGAAGGGTCAATAAAGATTCAAAGTAGGCGAAAATCTAAATTTTGTTGAAATCATCCTGTCTGTTACCATGACAACCAAGACACATAGCAACCAAACTTTAATTAATTTAAAATTCTGTTGTCAAACTATTATAATTGTTACTATTATAATGAGCAAAGTTTCACGATAATCGGTGACCATGCATGCAAAAAAAAAGTTCAAGTGGGTACAGAAGATTGCTCTTAACTCTCCATAATATATTTTGGTTCTTATGTGCTCAAATGTTGTTGCCATGGGTTAAAGGTATAAAAATGGGTTAAAATTATAAAAATGTACTTTGCTAAGACATCTATTACAAAATCAAATATGATTAATCACAATATGCTACCAAACTGTGGATTAATATTTTACAATTGTTCATAAATATGTGCCAAAAGTGACTTTATTTGCTTTGTTGCTATGGAGAATTTGCTGTTGCCATGGAGATAAGTATCTTTACAATATTTCTTGGTTTGCAAAGATGTCTCAAATACATTTTCTTACTTTAAATTGTATTTTTGTACTCTCAGATAACAATTTTTTAGATTAATAATTTTCACATTGTACGATTTTCCAGTTTTATTTATCAAAACATCCATTTTTGTTGCTAGGCAACGCATTGGAATTTTCAAAAAACACACCTTTTTGAATTTAAAGTCCAAAAGAGACATTCCTCTGCTTTAATGCGAAATATTTGCAACTCCTGTATGACGCCAGAAGTTTGAGTTATAAGGCCTTGAAAAGTACCAAAATCAACAAAAATGCTGAATCAGCAAAAAACACAAAATATGCATATCTACCCATGTCTAGTACAGATATATCTCAAAATCTTATTTCTATGTAATGCATTGTGAAAACACCTTAAATGTTTATCTTTACAATAAGAATAAATAAGAAGACATTCTTAAATATTCACAATCAATTCCAAGCCCTAAAGATTAGTGATTTTTTGTCCACACACATGGAAAATTGACTGGTTGCTAGGGAAATTTCTTTTGTCATGTTTCCATAGTAACCATGACCCAAAACTTTTTTCACTTTGCATACATGGTTCGTAGCACAAGAGAAATTTACGTTTTGAAAATCAACAAATTCTGAGAACCCTCATGATTCACTTTCAAACCTACTTTGCCTGATTCTTACAGAGACTTGCACTTAAGGTATGTCACTCGTCAGCCTTTTAGAAAATTTCAGTCAGAACCTCTTACTTAAAAACTATTTATTACAATTCAATCCTTATAACATATTTAGATTAAACAATGTAAAATGTTCAACATTCAATTAAAAAACTGCTCAAAAATTCACAAAGAAGCAAGATTTATAAGGAACTATTTCTTGTGGCGGAAGGATATTTAGCAGAAAATTCTGCAAATCTACACATTTATTAAATTTAATATCTTGGAACTTTAGCCTCACATACTTTTACTCAGAGAATATTTTCCGTTATGATATGCCTGGAATATTAAATATAGGTCTCAATTTATATTTTTATAACAAAATTTACACCTTCGCTCAACAAACAATGCCAAGAAATGAAGATATATTAAGGAAGTTGAGATAAAATTTACACAGTTTTTTGTCTGAAAATCGCATATTTTGACCAATATTTCAAAATTTACATCACTGACCCCAACTTTTTCTTTCATTATTTTAAACTACTCGATACTTTTGACCGATTAGCAAATAAGTTGTAAAAAGTTTGATACAAGAAAATATCCTATTGCCTATTTAGATTTTTAATACCCCAAATATGAGACTTTTTTAGTGCAAAAAGGTCACACAATAATTTACGTGCATTAATTTGCATGATTTGTTCAATGATAAATATTATTCAAACTGTTTTACGTAAAATAAGATTATGTTTATTGCCATGGTTACATCTTATAAAATATGATAACGGTTAAAGTGATTAACCAAAGAGTTACAATTTAAGTGCAAAAAGGTCAACTTAATTGTACCGTAGCTCAGTTAGATGCACACTGACTCCCCATTTTCTCTGCGATTTTGAGTCATACTATATGAGTACTTATCCAAAATATACTTCTCAAAAAATCCTTGATATAACAAATTTCACGAGTGACATACCTTAACACAGTAAAGAGGAACTGTAGGCATGGGGTTGTTATGAGTTCCTTTACCCAAGTGAGGTAAGCTGGTAGAACACAGCTTGAAATACCCTTCATCATGTTCATGTAGCTGTGCTCAAAAACAATTTGGGCCAAAGGCGAATAAATATCAAAGATCAAATGGTTAAATTACATGTAACCAATCAGAACACAGCTAAGTGAGTACTATTGAAAAATATTACTAAATAAGTACTATGGAAAGACTGGCAACATAGATGGCACTTCCTGTTTTAAAAAAGTAACACGTGGAATGGAAACGCATTCATGACCCCTAACTTACCAAAGATACAAAAATACGTAATACCTTTAATAATTATTATAGGTATTACATATTTTTCTCATTTACTGAAAATTTCGATAAAATTGATAGGACGGTACGCGGAGTTGAACTCCTGTGGTTTAACGAAACGCTGGTTATATGTATTTTAATAGGAACATACTAAAGAATATAATATAACTGTTATTGGTTGCAATCGTTGATTCCCGCATTTAAAAAAAGCATTTTATTGATTAATTTAGGAATGACTCTAATTCTTGGCCAAATTATTCGAGTATAACCTGGTTTGGGTCAGTTTACGCTTTATAATCCGCGAAGCGGATTATAAAACAGCGTAAACTGACCCAAACCAGGTTATACTCGAATAATTTGGCCAAGAATTAGAGTCATTCCTTATAATTTAATTTTACAATCATTAAATAACTAGGGGTTTAAAATTTCGTTGCTTTTCGTTAGTTCAAATTTGCCGCTCAATAATACAACCGTAGTAACGGAAGTGATGGGAAGCGAGGGGAGGTAAAAACTGATACATAGGCCTAGCAGCCATGTTGTTTGTTTGCATGTGGTAAGATCGAATTGTTGTTTGAAGTTAAGGGTACATTTATTAAATCTGGAATTTTCCATGAATCCCGAGGACTGGAAATGAGAGGATTGTATGGATACAGATGATTCAGCTGGTTGTCAGGGGGGTGTGTCCCCATACCAAACCAGGTTATACAGAAATAATTTGTGTTCCTTTTTGGATACTAACCAATCAGAGGCTAGAATACAAACGAAATTAAATTATATTAAAATAACCAAATATTGATAGAATTTGCTACTAGGTCTTCGCCTGGTTGTTTCAATCCGGAAATTTATTGGTCTTGTTTGGTTTGGGTTTTCGTTTCGCCCTCATTTTAGAATCTACCTGATTTGACCGGAAAGTTCACATCGTCCAGGCACATTTCGACATAGCAAGTACGAAGATGGCAGAGAGAACTGTTGTTGTCGCAGTTGATGGTAGTGATCAGGCAGACAAGGCATTTAAATGTAAGTTTATTTCTTGTTTCTTTTTAAAAACGGCTGAACAATATGGAACGGATGTAAAACGATATGTACCTTCTCGATTTTTGTTATATGGCGTTGGGGTTAATCACAGGCAAAGAATTTCGGTTCAGGGTACCTCGTTATTTCACCGACCTTCTGCCGACCTTTGAAGAAATCATACAGAGACTATTGTTCTGTTTTCTTCTTTTTTGAATAGAGTAACAGTTAGATATTTATTCCTTTCGATGTTAAGCTGTGAGATTCCGTGGGTGTGTCATTTTGACCTTCAGGCTTTAGGGAGGCGTCGCGCTTCAAGAGACGAGAACATTTTTAATGTATTGATCCATTTAAAAGTATTTTTTAAAAAAACCAAGGTAGTGTGTAATGTTTGGGGCTTTTTTACTTGAGTGAAATATTTGAACTTTTACTATACATTATTCATATGGTGTGTTAGCATGGTTAGTGTACTATATAGTCATTTGAGTAGGTCCTATTCACCTAATTCCAAGTATCTGAGCCTCAGGTATTTGACCTACTTGTAAAATATAGGTCAGATAAATAGAGTATTGACCTGACAAAGTTGGGAGTTAAGTGGCTTATAGTGTCTGAGCCAAGAAAAGTAAATAATTGTCTGGTCTGAAAAATAATTCACAGATGATCTGTATTTCAGTTCATGATGTTGCTTCAACAATTCATAATAATGAAAGTAGAGTTTCATTTCACTATTATATAATTCACCATACCTCTTATGATAGTGATATGATGGGTGAATATACTCCAGTGCACCTTTGAATAATAATGGGGCTCGGAGTACGTACAATACTTTTTCGATACATATCACGATATTTGAGCCACGATATGAAATGTATCATGATATGTTGAATTGGTTATAAATTTATTTTTGTTTTGAAATGAACAAAACATTTCTTCACGAATAAGAATAATTTATTGAAAGAAGTAATCTGTTTTAAAACAAAATTATTTTGCACAAGTGGTGTTAATTATTATGTATTTCATATTTATATTAAGCATATTTAAACCTAAAATCTAAAGTAAACAAAGAAAAACATAAATCAGACTTTTTGGCGACATTTCTTCATATATGCATGTGCATTGTCTTCACACAGAATGGATATTATCAATATCTCAATAAATCATCCCAGCTCTAAACAATAACATCCTTAAGCTATAAACAACTGGACAGGTGAAACAAATAGTGAATGAAGGAATAATTACAATAACAATTGACAGCAGTCATTAATTTATACATTAATTTCCCATGTGGTGTTTTATAGGGAATGTGCTATATAACATGTATGTATATCCAGTACACAAATATCCATCAAGCTTTGTACATTGAGTTGCTGTGAATGCCTCACGTAGAGTTGTCTATTTTCATGTCAAAACTAACGTCAGGTATTTGCCTGGAGGCAAAGGTTTTATTAGAGTAGATGTGTCCTGCCTACCTGGAATTAAAGCTATTATTCTGGACTCCTAGAGTGAAATATGTACAAAATTTTAATTGATTTTGCTTTACAGTGAGAAATGAGTTTTAAAAATTTCCCTCTGCAGGGTTATTTGAAAAGTTTTATTGAACTGTTTTTGTTGTTGCAAGGAATATGATATGCATTTACATGTAGCTATAAAAATTGTGAAGAAAAATTAATACGTAGTAGATGTCTTTAAACTAGTTCCTGTTATATAATATTAGACATTTTAAATTATCCCATCTTGTTAAAATATATATATGTCAGATTGCCATATGTGATTAAACTAAAATTAGCATATCTGCATTGTAATTAACCAGTTTTGTGGCTCTTAAGGTATTTAAATATGAATATGCACATAGTAAAAAGAACAATACATGTCAAATTGTTCCAGTGACCCATGTTAGGCATATCATCCCATTTGTTTTTTTAAATAACTTAATTGTTTTGATTTAGATTATTCAATCAAAATGAATATTGCTTTATACAGGTATTATTTGATTGAAAGATTGGTACCCCTTTTAATTTACAATTGGCATATTATCCCTTCAGTATTAAATATTTTCAAATTAAACTAGATTAAACTAGTAATACAAATGCTGAAAAAGTCATTCATGCTTTAAAAATTATGCATGGCTCACTTAGCTGGTTAAAGGAAGTGTTTTACATATGCACATCGCAAATTCATAGTCACTATAGTGTAAATTGTTTTCCCAGGATAATGACACCTTTGTTTATGTATCCATAAACCACTATACACAATAATAAATACATGTATATATATATATATATAGAGGACTCAGGTTAATCCTCTTCCTGGCTAGGTAGATGTTGATTACATGCATGACTAAATGTGTGTATATTTGGCCTAATTAACATAAAGATTAATTAATAGTGTTGAATGGAACAGGAACGGGTGTATTCAGCATTTTTTTCGGGGGGGGGGGGGGGGGGGGTATTTCTGCGTATATGTATCATATGTATCTACTGCTTCACGATTTGTTTCCGGTTTATGATATAGTTAGCTTTGTTTAAAACATAGATCTATGAATGTTATATATTTGTCATTTTTAAAATTCATTCTAAATGCTAATGCTAGTCAATCGTCATGGTTACCATTATGTAGTTAAAACTCTGTTGATGTTGAAGAAGGCTTTACTAATTGGGCCGGAATTTCACAATCAACATGATCAATCAGCATGTTTATTATTATTAATGACAAAAGTAGAAACCCAAATTATAACAATGTCTTAGTAATCATGGTAATTTCCCTCTCAACACATTCAATATGTAAACTGTGCATTTCAAAGAACTAACCTTAACTGAATTCTACAAAATTTGGGTAGAACTGTTACAGTAGTACTTAAATTTTGTAAATAAAAGGTATATCTGCAGGTTTAGGATGTAGTAGTTTATACCTTTCAAATGTTCATTCTTCAGAAGTTATGGTAATTAACTAAAGTACTTTTTCTTCTACAAATTTAACATGTGGTGCTGTGTGAAAATAACCCTTTCATATATCTGGCTTGTATTGTAAATCACCTAATCCTTACAAGAACACACTATAAATAGCTTTAGGAGACCCTTTATATTCAATAAACTGTACAGTAAACAATATAGTCACTGTCAGTGGAGCAGTTAATATTGATGTTGAACTAATAGCTCTGTTTGTGACATCTGTTGCCATATAATTAGAGATAATATTACTTTAGAGTGTGATAGGGCATTATAAATTATTTAGACATGATTTATCTATAATATTTGTTGAAAAAAATTTGGTTTAAAGTGCTAGTATACAGGTTATTGATTATTTGTTCACAAAGTTAATAACTTGAACAAAGAATTCATTTAGGGATCGATATTCAATTTGGAATAACAAAACAATATGCATCTCTTTTTTTAGACACAAAAAAGAATTAAAATTATTACATATTGAGGCATTGTGATTTATAGAACTAAAATTGTAACTGTCCTACTAGATTTCATTTTGTTGAAATAAAATGTGTTTAATAATTATGTATGTACAGTTATATAGCCTAGCTAGTACATGTATATGATGAACGTATGAAATTTGTGTTGGGAGAAGGTACAGTGTACAATCAGTACATCTTAATGTATATTCAAAAGCATGCCAAGCCAAATCCTACTGAGGTGAAAAAGTCACAACTAATTTGTTAACTACTAGACTGAGATTTTAGGACATTTGATGAACGTTCAGTTAGCAAATGATTTTTTTTTTTTTTTAAATTATAACCATGAGAAATAGTGCCGAAAATTGAATGAAACTCATTTTTTTTGTCATTTAAGAGAGCTATTTAGTGAATGATGATACAATTTATGATAAGACACATAGCTGAACGAGAAGAGCATGCAGGAATAAATCACTGTCATTCTTCAACGTCCTTCTTGACTTTCACTTCTGCCTGCGGGCGTACAGTGCTGCGTACTGAATAAATATACTCAAAGTTGTAAAGTAAGGTGACCTCTCGTCAAACTATTAACATTCATATTCCTTAGAACTCCCCTCTAGAATGTTCCTTGTCTAAAATTGCTAGAAAGGTAACCAGCACATTAATTCATCATGTGTTCTGTTACAAGTGCATGTATACATTCAGTTTTGTCCTAAATTTTTGTATTATCAGGTAATTTGATGAATAGAGGAAATTGTTTGAATAAGGACTACAAAAATACACTGAAAATTGGATCTATATATTGCCTATGCTTGATTTGACCCAGGTTAAACCAAGTTCAGTGTTAAGTCTATATGTTATGTAATCCTCTGTCTGGGTATATTGATTAAAAGAGATTTTTACCTCGGACACATTTCACCACGTACATCATTCATCGTGAAAACACATCTCTATTAATGTGTTAATCGTGTTTTAAGACACATTAATTCTTGTTCTATCAGACTGTGGGGTTTGCATCATGTGTCATTTCCGCCTATCTTTGGCTTTAATTAATAGTGGCCGTAAAACCTTTATAGCAAAGTATAAAAGTGACAATGATAAATTTTGTGAAGCGGTGTATGAGTTGAGCTTTCTCTAAAATCGATGATTTGTAGAGGGGAAAAAATTACAATGATGCTGTAATGAAATACAAAACAGTTTTATTTGTTTAATTTTTTTTTGTTTATGTCTATAATTTTATATCAGTCGGATCACTCGCACTTTTTGAAGGGGGAAAGGGGGGATGGCTTACTACTCATGTTGAATGTCTATATTTTTGAATTTAAGACCTTTATGATTAAAACTGCAGTGTACCTGATGAACAGGTCTGTTAGTTTAAGAACCTTGGAGTTTGAAATCAACTAATTTTCATGTCTTTTTTTGAAGGGTATTGTGATAATGTGTATCGAGCAGGAGACCATGTTATTGTTGTATTTGGAGCAGAATACAAGGTTTCCTTCATGCGTAAGTATAAAAACAATCTGAATTTAAATGCTACTTCATTATCATACAACATTCTCAAAAAATTTATCCAACATTTAATTTGCTCAAGAAACAGGTGAACAGAATCAGCTTTTCAGGTCACCTGAGTCACTCAGGTGACCTATTGCTATCCGTTTTCGTCCGTCGGCGTGCGGCGTGCGTTAACTTTTGAACATTTTTAACTTCTTCGCCAGAACCGCTTAATCAATTTCAACCAAATTTGGTATATAGCATCTATGGGTGAAGGGAAACAAAAATTTTGAATTTCATGGTCCCTGCCCCCCTGGGGCCTTAGGGGTGGGGCTAAAACCACCAAAATTAATGCAATCTTTAAAAATCTTCTTCTTTACTCCTGGACGTCATGCAGTCAAACTGTTGGCATGATTGTAATAAGCATTGAACCCTCTACCAAAATTGTGAAATTCATGGCCCAAGGGTCAGGGGTTCTGGTGCTAGGGTGGGGCTATAAAGATCATATAGTGAAAGTGCATTATTTCTTTGAAAATCTTCTTCTCTGCTCCTGGGTATCAAATAAACAAATTAAGTACATAGTTATGAAGGGCAAGAGTGCCTCTTCCAAAATTGTGAATTTCATGGGCCCCAGGGTCAGGGGTTCTGGTGTTAGGGCGGTGCTCTATTGATTATATAGTGAAAATGCATTAATTCTTTGAAAATCTTCTTCTCTGTTCCTGGGTATTAAATAAACTAACCAAGTATATAGTTATGATGAGCAGGAGTGCCTCTTTCAAAATTGTGAATTTCATGGCCCCAGGGTCAGGAGTTCTGGTGTTAGGGTGGGGCTCTATTGATTATATAGTGAAAATGCATTAATTCTTTGAAAATCTTCTTCTCTGCTCCTGGGTATTAAATAAAGTAACTAAGTACAGTTATGATGAGCAAGAGTGCCTCTTCCAAAATTGTGAAATTCATGGCCCCAGGATCAGGGGTTCTGGTGTTAGGGTGGGGCTCTATTGATTATATAGTGAAAATATAGTGAACATAGATATGATGAGCATGGCTGCCTTTTCAGAAATTGTGAATTTCATGGCCCAGGTCAGGGGTTCAGGTGTTAGAGTGGGGCTCTATTGATTATTTGCATTAATTCTTTGAAAATCCTCTTCTCTGTTCCTGGGTATTAAATAAACTAACTTAGTGCATAGTTATGATGAGCATGGTTGCCTCTTCCAAAATTGTGAATTTCATGGCCCCTGGGTCGGGGTGTAGGTGTCAGGGTGGGGCTCAATTGATATATTAGTGAAAATGCATTTTTTCTCTGAAAATCTTCTCTCTCCTGGATATTAAATAAACTAAGTACATAGTTATGATGAGCATGGCTGCCTCGTCAGAAATTGTGAATTTCGTGGCCCCTGGATGTAGGGTTCAGCTGTTAGGGCGGGGCTCTATTGATTATATAGGGAAAATGCATAATTTTTTTCAAAATCTTCTTCTCTGCTCCTGGGTATTATTCAAATAAAGAAAGTGCATGGTTATGATAAGGAAGAATGCCTCTTCCAAAATTGTGAAAATCATGGCCCCTGGGTCAGGGTTCTGGTGAAGGGGGGGGGGGGGGGCTCTATTGATTTTATAGTGAAAATGCATAATTTCTTTCAAAACATTTTTTCTACTACTGGTAATAAAGCAAAGAAAACAAGTGTATAGTTATGATGAGCAAAGTGCTTCTTCCAGAATTGTGAGTTCATGGCTCCTGGGTAAGATGGTCTGGTGTAAAGGGGGGGGGGGGGGGTTATTTATTTAATTATATACTGAACATGCATTTCTTTGAAAATCTTCTATGCTTCTTGGCATATTCGAGGCAAACAGAGTAAAAGTTTTAGTATGCAAGGGTATTTTTATCAGAGACCAATGTGAGAAGTAGTAATTTGGGATTAAAAATAGACATTTTGTTAATAGTCGGCATGGTAATAGTGTTAAATGGGGGACAGATAGATGCTATACCAATTATTTTGTTGATGCTTATCATACTATTTTTCTTGCTTTTGGGCAATATTTAAAGCTTCATTTATCAGTTTATGGATCCTCTAAATTGTTGTATTGTACTCAGGTGACCGTTAAGGCCATTGGGCCTCTTGTTTCACTATTTGAAGTGATTATAAGGTTCATTGTTTGTGTATTCCTTTGTGTAAAATTTTGTGTTATCACATATGATGTTACAGTATAAATCTAACTGTGTACAATTTCATCATACTTTTTTGTGCAAAATTTGACAGGAATGACATTTTGACAGTTTTATAAAAGAATGATGTCATTTATGACAAAGAGAGTTATCTCTCTTATCAGATGGTCAATGAACTTAAAGTATTTTTGAACTCTGATTAACAGCTGGACAGGTGTCTGAGTCCAGGCTGAAGGAGATTCAGGACGAAATGTCCAAAGAGCACCAGAGAGTAGAGGCCTTGACCAATAAATACATCTCTCAGCTCAGAGAAAGAAGTGTAAGTAGCAGTTATTGGATCTACAAGGTTAAAATTCAAAACAGTTAGAATGATTTTTTAGGGCAATTAATATTCAGGGTTCCCTTGCCTTGCACAGAAATTTACCACCTCAATAAATAGTGAATGCAAACAGTATATATTGCTATTTGATGTTTGTGCATGAATTTACTTAAAACAAAATTGTGAAATTTAGCTATTCAAAAAATTTGCCTGAGTGAATTTAAAGGATTTCACACCATATTTTTTGAAGAAGTCTAAATATTCTGTGCTGAAAGTAGAATCTTGTCTTAAGTGTTAGAAAGTAAATTCTTTAGAAATCATTCCTACACTGATGTGAATGTGTCAATGCATTGTGTACCTAAAATTTTCAAAAACATAACATAGATCATTAAACCAAGCATTTGTCAAAAGTGCTTCTTAATTACATCCTGTTAAAAACATAATATAGTGAAGAAATGTAATAATTAATTAGTAAATAGTTCATAATAATACAATTCAGAAATAAGATCCATTATTGTGTTACAGATCAAAGGGGAGGCAACTCCCATCACTGGAAAGAAACCAGAAGAAGCCATCATTTCCAAAGCTGAAGAGGTCGGAGCTGCAATGATCGTCATGGGAACCCGGGGCCTGGGAACAATTCGCCGTACCTTGATGGGCAGTGTCAGCGATTATATTGTACACCATGCTAGGATACCTGTGATCGTGGTCCGGGATTCATGATTATATTCCTAGGATTTACTGAATTAAACACATGATGCCGCAATAATTCTTCAAAAGTTTCTTTTCACACTTAGGAGCTTTTAATTTTCTGTTTCATCAATGTCAGTTTTTTTTTTTTTAATTGTTGTTTGTTAGTGTTCACGTTTTTTTTTTTTTCTTCAGTAGTGCAATTAACAAGTAAGAGATTTTGCAAAGGTTGCTTGCTATTGAATAGTGCTAGGAGCCAAAATGATTTACAAAGTCATAGTTACTAATGAAATTGATGTGGAATATGTAGAAAGATTATTATAGACATTATTGAACAGCAATTTAGATTGTCTTGGAGACATTTTTTTTTTATTTTCTATAAATAGTATTCAATTTTTTTTAAGATGTTGAATGACATAATTTCTGCATATATAGTAATTGACATTCTAACTGCTGTAGATACTTATATATGATACATACTTAACAAAACCAAAAAAAACTTTTTAATTTAAAAAATATATACATTTACATTCTAAAAACTTTGTTTTCAAATAGAATTTATTACTTTTATAGGACTATATCTCAGACCTCATACTGTTTTTATTTTCATTGATTGAAAGCTACTTACAAGAATTAGAGGTGTGGTCTTCAAATAAAACAGAAATCTGAGTCAGATGAAAGCTTTCCTGGTTGTTAGCCGTACTGTTAATGGAAGAAAAAATAAGGACATGCCAGTAGTATCAAGTGAAAGTATACCTAGATTTCTTGAGGTTTTTTTTTTTGAAGACTGCATTTATTTATCACCTTGTTCACATATTTAACCGAGATTTTCATTGTTTGTCCAAACAAGAGATATCAGGAATTTTTTGAGAATTTTTTTTTTTTTTTTTTGCTCTCTCTGGTCATTTTTCACATTTATTGAGTGACCTTTGTGTAAAGATTTTTATAAACACCCATCACTTGAGTGGTACCATTGAGATCCTTTTATACTTGTCAAGTTTTCATACTTGTATGCCTGTAGAATAACTTAGAAATGAGGATGTATTTACAACGATTTTTTTGTCTGATTTTGACATAGGACCTCTACTGAATTACGTAGAATGAACTTGTACATCTTAAAGTAATTTCTGTAGACAAGTAGTATGTTTAACGGTGAATAAGAACTCTAGCTGTATTCTTTACAATTCTTTACACAGAGAATCTCAATCCAGAACACAATCTTGTGTATAAAGTAGTAGGTGATAGTCAATAAAATTATTTCCTAAATACTGTGGTCTTTTATGCGTGTGTTTTGAATGCTGATAAGACCAGGAATTGGGTGTAGTGTGATTTTGAAAAAGCTCTTTTCATGGAAACTTCAGAGATGTTGACCTTTCAATGGCTAGTCTGGGAGGATCTCAATAAATCATTGTGAGAGGGTATTTCTCTGCTCAATCCCAGTACTTTCTCTGGTAAAAATGTATCAACATATCTGGAAAAAAATGACCTTTGATGCTCAGCAGCAGAATTAATCTATTCTAAAAATTGAATCATCAAAATGCTGCTGATGAAAAAAACCCAAACATATGACCTTGAATTCAAAAGTAATGAAGGTGCATGTAGCCAGGTTGCTTCGTTCGTTTCAGTTTTCTCAACTTTTTATGATCCAAAATTTGAAACTTTTGATTTAATCAAAAGATGTTCTGTTAAAATGCAGCCTTAAAATGATGTCAAACTTGGAAGATTCTACGCTCTTGATAACCCCTTTGTACTCAAGTACACATCTGGGTTACTTCAATGAGGAACATGGAAATTTTAACTGCAGTGAAATTGTTCTTTGTTTTGTAATCTGGAAAATCTCTTGATCATTCGTAGGAGAGAAAAACGGTGTACGAGTGTGTACTTCAGAAAAATACTTAACTGAAAGATTTCTTTTCATACTGTGTAAATAATTATAAAAGGGGAGAGTCTTTTGTGCCACTCCTCCAAGAAAAGTATAGTAAAACTTGTTTAGTCCGAATAAGGCTATTGCGAATTCACGGATATTTTGAAGTGCTCTTGGATGGCCAGCTCTATACGTTTTATGAATTCTTTATACGGATAATAACGAAGTCCAGTGACTTTGTAATAACCGATTTTTACTGTACCGGACACATTTTTGGGGGAGGGGGGTGGCAGAAATATTTAAATTCAATATTTTACATGTATTATTTAATGATAGATTTCAACACAAAACAGCAAATGTAAAAATATACTAAAATTGTAATGCGTAATTAATGTGCTGTACCTCTTTTTGACTGCAAGTTGTCCCGCTTTGTATGGAAAATATTCCCAAACTATTTTTGCCATACGATTTTGACCTACCAGAGTAGTTTTATAGCAGACCAAGCTTTGATCGTCGCAGAGGTTTAACACCGATTTTTTTTCAATGTGATTTCTATCCATTATTACATATACAGAGTTTTTGTCGAATTTTCTTTTACATTGAATAAAAATGATTTTTTTTGACATTGAGAAAATTAAAGTGTGTAAATCATGGTAAATGTGTTTATATTGAGCTTATCTATTACATTTACAACGTAGAGTACCTTGCATATACCCCAAGGAAAAATTTTTATATGCAACGAAGTACATGTACTGATGAACAGAAATCACTGTCATAGGCGTCGGAACCGGGGGGGGGGGGGGGCTAGGGGGCTTAGCCCCCCCCCCCCACTTTTTTTGCAAAGATAGACATAATATAGGCATTGAAAATTGGGGCTTACCTTTTTTCGTTGGTTTAGCCCTCCCCCCCCCCACTTTCAATTAGCCACCCCACTTTCAATTTGCTTCCGACGCCTATGACTGTTGTTTACTTAAGAGGGCAAAATACCTGCAAATGAAGTGTTCAATCAAAATGTTACGAATGCTTGATTTGATCACAAATTAAGTAATACACTGTACATTTTAATTTATTTTATTTAGATTAAAGGGCAGATTACTCTATTTGCATAAAAATATCCTTTAGTGTGCAGTGTACAGAGGGTTCGATTTTAAATTAATCCCACGTGTGCAATTTATAAGGGTATTGGTATGGTATATTTTATGATGAATCTCCTTAAGATTCAAATGACCAAAAATACTTTAAAAATGAATGAAATACTAAATAAATAAATAACCCACACCTGGTTTCCTGGAAACGAAAATTACACAGGCACTTGTTTCTTACCCCATAGTATCATAATACATGTCACGATGGGGTAAAAAAAAAATATTACAGAAACAAGTGCCCGTGTAATCATTATGCCGTGGGGTAAAAAAAATGTATTGCAGAACAAGTGGGTATGAGGGCAAACTCAAATTACAAGTTAGACTTTTAGATTCATGAGCCATTCTCTGTAACCACTTAAACTTTTTAAGCACGCATGGTCACCGATTTTGATGGCATGTTGCTTAGTATTATGAGTTGACTTTAGAAACAAATATCAAACAAAATTTGTTTGCTAAGTGTCTTGATTGCCATGGTAACATTTTGTAGAGTTCGAAAAATGGAGATTTTCAGCTACTTTGAAGCTTTCTCAAGTCTTAAGAAAGACTCAGAAAACCAAATTGACTACTTGCACAAAAACATTATTTTACGTTGTTGTAACTTGTGTTGTAAAGAAATTATTTGGAATGTATCCCTATATAGGTGATATCATGGCTACATTTAGACTGTATTTACAGAAAGAAGCTTAGAATTTAGTTATGTCAGGAGTTATCTTACCAAACTAAATCACCAACGATAGAAAAACAATAACAATATTTGACGTCATGTGAATAATTTATTGCAGTATTAAAATAACAATAAAAGAGGTTGCCCTGATAACACAAAATATCACAGAAAAATAAAGAAAATTCGGAAATCATTGCTACATTGACAATAACGGTAACCATATAGACAATATAGCAGTGGTTTAAAGCGATAAATTTCTACCTTATGACATCCATACTGAAAATACTCTGCATGAATTCGAAGTCAAATCAGGTGTGCCAGATAACTACATGTATCAATTATAACAAGCATTCACGATAAGCTGACGTCCTAAACAATCTTTTAAGTTGAGTTCAGTTCTCGTATCTGAATACTGTATGTTATAGAACATTCTTCGTTCCTATGTTTCTCGTCTCTCTGACGTTGAATCCACTGGATGTAGGATTTTCCCTTCTTCTGAATAATAAATTCACAAGCCGGTGAACATTTTGCATGTCGTTCGTAAGGGTTATCTGATAACGTCCAGTTTCGAAGTCCGTATCCACACATGTAGCAAACTACTTTGTCTTCAGTACCAGTAAAATAGAATCCGGCATCTGCCAAATCAAATGGTTTGGGAAAACTTACCATTGGCCACCTTTCATATGTTTTAAGCCTGTCTGCAAGTTCTTTGAACGCAGAATTATAAATTGAAAACTTTCTATTCTGAAAACGACATTCATTCACAAATTTTAATCCTTTCAATTCTTTAATATAAGGACAATTAAAAAGCCATTTGGCATGTCTTGCACATGGATCTTCGTCTGGTTTAAAATCCCAGCTAACACCATTACAATAAAAACATCTAAAAACAACGGCATTTTCGCGGTAGTATCCAGCACGAGCAATGGCTTCTTTTGAGGGACGCCTCGATTCCGACCATCCTGATAATGTTTCAAGACGACTTTCATAGAGAGCAAACTCAGGATGAGATATGTGCAGTACTTCTTTTTCCGTCACAGCATCATGGATTAGGCTTCTACAAACATCTCTAAGACTCCGATCGTAAGCGACACCGTCCATGTTCCACATTATTCCCCATGTTGAATTACTTGGCGGTGTTTTAAGAATAGCTTGCATAAGTTGATTGAAATCTTTCATACTTTGGAAGTCTTGTCTATCAATCATATCTGTCCTGTATTTAAATATCAGCCTTACTCTGTTAATTTGTTTTTGCAACAGAGGCAAATGTTCCTTGACACAGTTAGAGAGGTGGTAATTTCGATTCCAAAACTCCTTAAAAATTCCAAGTCGAATGGTGAGGCATTTGCCATTAAACTCAATGCCACAAGTTTTCATTCCTGAAATAAAGAGCGATAACTTTGAGTGTTGTGATAAAAAGTGAGAGAGTTCAAAGGCAATCGGCTTTGATAAGAACGTCTCCATTTCCTTCGCAGAAGCAATATTTAATTTTTCTTTCAATACTACTGCTGCACTTTCAAGTTCACCATCGCTACTTTTTGCGTTATATTCTACACGTAAATCGTCGTCTTGTAAAGATTTAATGAAGCAGTCCCACCAATTAGACTTATTCAAATCGCATACAGATATGACACGAAGTGACCGCGGTATAACACAGTTATCAACTGTTATAGGCACAAGAAATGGGACTGGATTTTCCGACTTTTGATCTAGGAATTCGTCCATTGCTTGATCTAACTTGTAAATACATCGACAATCCCCAACAAAAGCTTCACTTAATACAATGACTACCTTCATGGACTGTTTGATAAATGTAATCAGCATCTCAGCTTTGGGTATCCCAGGAACCGAGTCTCTATCTTCGTAGCAACATGTATAATTATAAATATCTTCCAGTCGTTTAACCGTATCCCTCACAAAAGAGATTTGCTGTTGGTGGTGAATAAAAAACACGTGGTAACGTTTTCCTACCCTTAATAACTTGAGAGGTGTTGGACTTTGAATATTTTTTGCGCTGCCTGAAAAATAATTCTATGACGACAATACTTTTAAGGTAAGGAAAATGAACAAAATCTCAAATCGAATACAAATGGGCGTTGCTAAAAAAGAAAACAAAAGGGATTGTAATCGGGAACAAAATACATACCTGTAAAATGAGAATTAATAGTATTTATTATACCATTGTTTAAGGTATTGAGAAAAGTGAAGATAACGAACAGTGATTGATCTCATAAATCCTGTAAAATACGAAACAGAGGGAAACTCGGACCCCGGAAACACCATGGTGAGGTACCTAAGAGGAGAAAGTACACCCTGTCAACCGGTCACATTCGTCGTGAGCCCTCTGCATATATCATGTTAACGGACTATTCTATAGTAAAAAACTGGTATAAAACAATGGCCTAACAATTGATATGGTAACATATCATTCAAAATACGACCAAACGATAGGGATAGGTTATAATACGTTCTATTTCCGCTATGGAAGAGTTATACTTCTTAGTGCACTCTTTTGTGAAAAAGTCGGAAAATGTACAAATCTCGCGGGATTTCTGGGACAAACGTAACATAGACATGTAAACAATATGATGAATGTCGATGAACAGTTCCTAAGAAAATGCAAATGAAATATTTTATTGTTATGGGCTTTATATACATCAAGAGTAGGAATGACAACGATATCAATTTATATCTAAATTGTTGATCGTATGTATCTAATTGTCGTATTTTTTATTTATGGATGATAAATTTAGGGTTCTCGCTCTCTTACATATGTCTTTTAGTTCTTCTATTCTTTAACTGGAATGGCATACATCTAACATTTAAAATTGGATTGAGATTGGCATGTTTTGTATTATCCGCCACGCCATGCTGTCCCAGTCAGACGACCAAACTCGCCTCTAATTTTGAAGAGTTCACTAATGGAAATGGAACGTATTGCAAACAAGGTCATTAATTATTTCTGTATATGACCATAGAATATGCAAAATGCTGAATTAAACGAGATTGTTGAAAACTTTGAAACGTCAGCTTAACTTATTTGTCAATAGCCTTCCTCATGCAGTTTAAAAATTGAGCGACGTAGTGTAAGCCGATCTGTTTTCTTACTCTTATGAAGCATAATTTTTTGAAAGACTCATGCATGAGAGGAAGAAAAATACTATTACTCTGGTAGATCGAGATGTTTTTAATTATCAAACAAAAAATAGATTTTTTTATTCATATGCCGACTCGATATCTCCCGATGAACTCGGAATAAAATACACTACAAAGTTGCCACATCTGTTTCATATTTGGGTGCTTTACCAACAACAGACATTAATGGTCAAGTAACAAAACTGTATGACAAATGACATCGCCAACTTCCCTCATTTACTAGTATGCAGTAATATTCCAATATCACCTGCATATAGTATTCATAAACCCCAACTGATTAGGGATGTAGGAACACGTGCAATCAATTTTTAAAGGGAGGTTTCTGTCAAATAAGTTGATGTTACAGGAATTTCAAATCAGCATTTCGCAAATTCTGTGGTCAGTATGATGAACCTATTGTTAGGTCGTATCTTGACTGACATTTTTCACTGACATGTTTTTACATTTATCTTGACTATACGGATTACATCAATTGCCTGATAAATACAGAGGGCTAAAGACGGATGTTACAGGTGGGCAGGGGATACTTTCTCCTATTGGGCAGCAGATCCCCCCTCTGGTGTTTCTAGGGCTCCCTTTATATTCTGTTCACGATTGGTGTTGTTTACAATACTTTAGAGATGGATCACTGTTCGTTTTCCTCACCTACGTCGAAAACCAATTTTTATGTTCATTTCTGCATATAGGCTTGGTGTGATGTTGGAATGGACCCAGTTTTCAGTCAAATATTCAACAAATATCAATGTAAAGTTACATGCATGCTTTCATAAATGAGTTTGATTTAAATCCATTGTCATTCTAAATTTTAAATTTACCGGCTGGGAGTAAATACAAGAGTTAGAACATGACAACTGTTATTCAAAATTAAGAACATGACACCATTTTAAAGTATGAAAAGAGCGATGAGTGTTTCTCAATGACAATTTCTTCGCCTTCCACATTAAGTAAAACGAAATTGAATATATGTTCATAATAATGTTGATCAATTATTATCATCTTCTTTATAATACAGACAGCCATATTCGTACATTTATGACTCGAAAAAAGAGTCACGGATCAGGGAATTTTTTCGGCCGTAGAGGTGTCATCCATAAAATATATAGCTATATGTTGGTAAACTTTCCTATGGAATCATGATAGGACCACTAGTTCATTTTCAACATAGGGTACCTGCCTTATTTCTCCAGAAAAAAATGTTCAAAGACAACGAACTATATGTGAACAGAAACTACTGTTATTTACTTACATTGGGAAAATTAATGGAAAAACTGTATTCTATAAATTAATCTTGGTCCAATATAATTTCATTAAAAATACTTTAATTCATCATAAATTGTGTTATTAACTGTAGATTCCAATTTATTTTATTTTACCTCTATAAGGGCAGATCACTCTAATTGAATAAAACTACCCTACAAAAAGAACTCTTTAGTGTACAGTGTTTAGAAATTCCTTAATGAAGATAATGATTTCAGCATGATTGGTCCAATTTTGTACTTGCTCAGGTGTGATAATTATTATCCTCTTGGGGACTTTTATCTGTTTGCAACCAGTCAGGTGACGATCAAGTCCACAGTGATTTATTTTCAAACCAACATAGGTTCATTTCTAAGACTGCATATTTAAAATTTATTCAACTATGAACTTGAGAGTCTTTCATTATTAAAGTTAATCTAATTAAGTCAAAATTGTTATTATATACTATATTGTTTTCTGTTCTTTCCGGTTTTCATTCTGTTTTCGCTCCGCGTATTAGCATATCTAGTTACTTTCAAGTCCAATACAGTTTAGAACATGTTTCACACCTCGAACAATAAAGGGTTTTTGCTACTTCCAAAAAATCACTTGTTACACTCCAAGCCTAAGCTTCATGGTTGGGCGATTATGCCATTGTGTGCATAATTATTAAACATATCATTATCAACATGGACGCAACACAAAGTCACTAAACAATTAATATTTGACATGATGTTTTAAACAGTCATTAAAATCTACAGAATTAGTAAAGAAAAAAGATCTCTTTATAATCCCCTCTGTCTTTCTACCTGACTTAAAAATCAACTTTAGGCAAAAATAACAGAAATTTAAGAAAAGTAAAATTGATTGATTATGTAGGATTTATGCTGTTTCAAGGATTCTTCAGCCAGAATTAGTTATATCCCACTGAATAGTACAAAAATAAAATAGAATATAATAAAATAAAAGTTTAATCACCATCTTGCCTTCGATTCCTATTAAGAGGACAAAGTTAGAAGTCAAAATATGATTTGTTAAAAATTTAAAATACACAGGGACAGTCCTAAATTGCTCAAGTAATGTGTAAACTTTCCTTTTACTATTATAAGGTGAGACAATCCAAACATATACAGACTTTTTGACCGCATTCTCTGTGGAATTTTTTGATTTTTCAGAGCAATATGTCCATTTTTCACCCGAAAACAAATCTTTACTACATGTATATATCTCCACAAGAATCCCAAGCTCCTTACTTAAATCCATTAAAATGACATGGCTATCTTCAAATTTTGAATATGCAGAAATGAACCTGTGTTTGAAAACTACTCATTGTATACCGTCTACTGACCTGGTGCAGACGGTTAGATATACCCCCTGAGGGTATAATTATCACACTCAGGCCTGAACAAAATGGTACCAGTCAGGATTAAAACATCATTACAATGTATCTTGATTAAATAAAAAGAAACATACTATGAGTTTTAATGAAATAGAGATACAAAGGATTTAATTTCTCGTGTATAACATGTACGTCGCTTCGCTCGGCATCAAATCTCATGGTACTCGGGAAATACTTAGTATTTCGCCACGTTGCAATTACCTTTAGCATTTTCTGATAGGGAAATTTGTCCCAAACATTCCCACAGGCACTTGGGGTGTGGACCCCCCAATTTCCATTTTTTTCTTTTTAAATCTGAGGTCGAGTCACCTTTTCCCTATTTTTATATTCTAATATGCACTATATGTTATCAATAATGTTTAACTTTTTTGTCTGTATAAGCTGTTTTTAAATAATATATCGTTTTCGACTGATACATAAAAAGAGAGAAGGCGTGCAACTCTTTTCTCGTCGTCTGCCTCACCTCGCTTAAACTTTGCCTGATTATTTATCGAAAGCATAAGAAAACATGGAAAATGCATGCATCAATAAATTCGTTATTAATACATTCTTCTTCCTTTTCATATTTCCATTTAATTTTTATATGCCCCCGATTTGTAAATATATATTTCGATTAAATCACCCGCATCTAGGGTACATTTTGTTCATGTGCACCAACATATAGTGCATATTAGAATACAAAAATAGGTAAAAAGGTGACTCGACCCCAGATTTAAAAAGAAAAAAATGGAAAGGGGGGGGGGTCCTTACCCCAAGTGCCTGTGTACGTTCCAACTTAAAAAAAAATTCACTGGGGAAGATTCGCCATATAAACGTATATCAAAACTTCCCCTGGGTTATTTGCAATGTAGCAAATCCTTCCCTACAGATCGAAGAAATGCTGTATTTGCAACATATACAGCAATATAGCAAAATTTTCTCTATCACTGCATTTCTCCACCCCGGAAGATAATAATCAGTTATAAATGTATTCCGTTTTAATTGGCTTTTTTTTTTGTTTACTTAATAATTAAGTTACATATTAATTTAACCTAAGGTCTTTGATTAAAATTCGATTCAACAACATTTTCGTTGTTATATCCGCCAAAAAAAAAGTTTTCCCTTTGTTTCTATTCAGTCATTTTGTTGAAATACATACAGTCAGTTATTGTAAACAAAGAAAGAGCCATTTGCCC